CTCTTTAACACAATGGAATGACCTAATAAGTTGGAAATCACAAGTAAAACTATGGCAAAAAAGTTTCAGAATCTTTCACTTGGAAAATAAAGCAAAGCAATAGTTAGAAACTTAAAAACATTAAAAAACTGTCATACGAGTTTACAGGTAAAGCCAATGTGGGACAAGAGATTTCTAAGGAAGGTATAAAGGTCTATGGACTGGGGGGGGACGGGGTGCACTGCCCCCACCTCTTCCCGCTGCCAGATGCTTGCACACTGGGCCACGGCTCTACCCTGCTGCCATGGCCTGGCCACAGCTGCTCCCTCCGATTGCCCACCACCCCACCTCCTCTCTGGGATACAGCCACAGCCTGAGAGGAGTGGTGGCAGTGGGTGGAGGTGAGGGCAGCATGGCACCGCCCCCATCCATTACTCCTTATACAGTCTTACCACCCTGTTCCGCCCTCCTATGTCAGATCCTGGCCACTGAGCCAGCTCCTGCCTGCACTGGTCCAGCCAGGCTGCAGTCCCATGCCTGGCGTGGGTGCACAAATCTAGGGGGCCATGCATCTCCCAATGCATCACCTGTGTCCCCCCCCAAAACACTGTCTATGCCTCACCACAGACTTACCGGCAGGGAGCTGCTCTCTATGCTGCCTAACTGCCGTGGGTATGCGTGTGCGTGCATATCAGGTGGTACCCTCTGCCTGATGACCCTCCTCCCATTTCCCCCAGCCCCAAGCAGCCCCTGGCCAGCTGGAACTCTGCCAGCCTGCAAGAGGAAACCCATCATTTCCCATGTTTTTCTCCTTTAAAAGGAAAAACCTATGGATTTTCCAAGTTTTTCTGTGATTGTTTGCAACCCCTTTCATATACTCTTGTGACCCACTTTTAGGTCATGACCCACAGGTTGAGAAATGCTGTTTTAAATCTCTTTGCATAAAAATATTTGTCTCCTTGATACATTTGTTGTTTTTTTCCCCCAAGATGGAGGCAAGCAAACTAAACAAGTTAAAAAAAAAATCACAGAATCATTTTTACAATGACCTTTACAATAATATTCTCTCCTTCCCTGAGTAAACCCCAACCTCAGCATTTCTTTTGATTGCCATTGGACATTGAGCATAAGTTTTGAAAGAGCCTTCCTCCCCCATGTCCTTTTATGAGTGGTTAGTTAGTCAAAATTCCACCAATTTATGACTAATTTGTTCCTCCTTACGTGCTAAACAACCATCTTCACTGACTTAAAAACTACATGGTAAGGTGGCAGATTTAAGAGCCTCTCAAGTTCTTTTGCTGTTTAGGTCAGTGATCCTTAACTGGGGCACATGACCACAAGAAATTTTACATTCTATATACATGTTTCTTTAGGTTGCCAGGGAGAGAGCAATGCATGATGTAACCTACAGAGCATACCTGCTCAGTTTACTTGTTGCCAATGGGCCAGGAACGCCTGGGAATCACTGCTCTAGACAAATCCAAGGCATTTTTTTTTCATATTCAGTAAAAAACAATACATCGCTGGCCTGTTAGCACCTCTTTCAGATCATGAGTACTTACATCAACACTTCACGTCTCTGGCACTTCACTGTAACCTACTGCACTGAAGAAAATACTTTCTATTATAGCCATGGACCTCATGCAGACCCTTGTATGTGGGACTGTAAACTTTCAGAAAGCAATGCCTATTGAGGCTATCTACTGAAGCTTGTATGCCACCTTAACTCTTTTGTCTTTCTTGCTTTATATATTTGAGGATTATTATTATTATTATAAGAAATAAGACCCTTACTGCCCATAGGTTGGTTTTCAAACAGATATCTGGAAAACACCATAAGAAAGAGTATGTGGAATAACAAACACTGGAGAATCTCACTCTACCTTAATGTGCTCTATATGAGAATTAAAAAATGGGAACAAAAAGAAACCGTGATAAACTTAAATGATGAATCCTTATCATTCAGGTCAGTTTTTTCTAGGATTCCCCCCTAATGTTTTACTTTTTTTTGTTTCTCCTTCAAATTGATAGCTTACATCATAAAATAGTGTCTGGCTGTTCAATTTCTGTCGAATTGTCACTTAAGGAGGGAAAATCACGTACCAGCAACTGTGCTTGGCGTAGTCCTTCCTCTTCTCCCATGCTACAGAACAAGAGTCCATACAGCAAATGTTACAGCACCACCTACCAGACAGCAGGAGGCAAGAAATCAGTCAGATGCAGGAGACAAACAGCAAAACTCAATATCCCAGTTTAAATTTCTGGTACATCCAAGAACCTCACAATCTGGAATGTAATTATCCTTACAATGACCTTGGGACACTGGAAAGTACTATTTCCCCCAATTTACATTTAGGTAAGAAGTCCAAAGCCACTTGCCCCACGTCACACTGACAGCACATGACAGTACCTAGAATATCTCAAGTCCACAACTAATGCCCCAATGACAAGGCCATCCATCCCTTCGCTTCCCTGGTCCTCAGCCATTTAAAAATAAACAAAATATTTAAAAAGCACAGGAATTTGATAGCATGTAAAAACTTACATAAACAGGGAGAAAAAGGCACATCTTCAAAAGAAAATGAAAAACTTGGCTGATTTTTTTCCACTTTTCTCAGCCTACAAAAAACATTATATAAATCAAATTAAATAATAGGTTGTAAAAACAAGGGAAGGGGGCTGTTTTCCTTCGGGGTAGATAGGAAATATTACGACTAAGATTTGCTTTGCAAGCCAATAGATCTAACTAATAATAAGCAGAGGAGAAACATGCTTTTTTCCTGTTAAAAAGAGGGAGAAAGAGAGAGACACTTTCAAAACAAACTTCAGGGAAAACAGCTGAACAGCCATCTAAGCAAACTGATACATATTCGATTTCTGGCACTTTGTTTGAAACAGGGGGAAAAAAGGGTTAATTTATGGGGGGGGGGGGGG